AAGTCAAATTTTAGTATACTCGTTTGAGATTTCTTTGTGGATTGGCTGATTATTTCGGTAGAAGGTCAACTATAGGCACTGGGTCCACATATTTAGTACTTAGGGGCTTAAACAGTTTTGGTTCGATTTAGACAATTTTTGGCCACAAGGTGGCATACTTTAATCGCATTATTCACGCAAAGTTTTATCCCGATACAGTCATTGTTGCCTGATTTGCATAGTGGAAAGTGAAATAATCAGATGGAATTTAAAATGGTGTTATATGGAAAGTAGGCGTGGTTGTAGTCCGATTTCGCCCATTTTTGCACTGTGACATAGAAACATGAAAAGAACGTTATGCACCGAATTTGGTTGAAATCGGTTAAGCGGATCTCAAGATATGGGTTTTCACCTAAAAGTGGGCTGTGCCACGCCCACTGTCTAATTTTGAACGCGGTTCCTAAAAAGTCATCCCATACCATCCCGGAGATAAAATTTAATGTCTCTGGCGTGTTTATTGCTTGATTTATCGCGCTTTAGTAGTTTTTAACAGTACCGTTATATGGGGAGTGGGCGAAGTTGCCACCCGACTATTTTCACACCGTCAATAGAGGTGCTAAAAACATTTGCTTCCAGTGAATTTTGTTATTATAGCATTAGCGGTTTAGGAGATATGCACAATAAACCTTTTAGGGGCGGGAACACGCCCACTAAAAATTCTAACTGCAGATGCCCTCCCCCAATATGATTCCATTCTCTCTCTATAACCCTATATCTAACTCGATTAGTTTTAGGTGATACAAACAACCGTTAGGTGAACAAAACTATTATACTCTGTAGCAACAGGTTGCGAGAGTATAAAAATGTCAACCAACCTGAATATGTAGCGAGCAAAGGATCAGCACCATAAGAAAGCAGTAACCGTACTATTTCTTCGTGATCATTTTCACTTGCCTCGTGCAACGGTCGTATGCCCGAATGCGCCGCTTCTGAATGATTCGCACCGTACTGCAAGAGTGTTCTAGCAATCTCAAGCCAACCTTTGGTACAAGCTTCATGTAGCGGTGTATAACCAGCATTATCTTTCTGATCTGGATTCATACCCATACGATCCAAGCAGTAAACAACAACATCTATGTACCCTAGACGTGCTGCTTTATGCATTGCACTTTGGCCAACGCTTTTGTTTAGCACCCATTTATTTATTTCACGGCAAACATCACTCTCGGTCTTCACTTTTTTTTCATATTTTTCTTCTTCCGTTTTTCTATCTACTTTGGCTAACATTTGCAAATTTTGTACGGAACTCTGGTTCCCGGATAGAGTTGAATTAGATTTCTTTTTTTTACGTATGTAATCAAACCCGGAGCTTCCTTTACGTCGCAGATACTTTCCCGGTCGTCGTCTTCTAAATCCAGATGTTATATTATCTATTTCAAGGGTGGATCTATTAGCAACTTTTGAGTTTAGTGACTTATTATCGTGGGTTTCAGGTACACCAATACTCGCCAAGGTGTCTTCCTTATCTTTAATATGTTGATTCGCTGTCGAAGTTGTTGCAGAAACTCCGATCGTAACAGAATCGTTTATGACAATGTTTAATTGTTGTAAGAATTGTTCGTATTTCTGTTCGAATGTCATTTTGTCATTGCCATCTGACATTTGGGATATTATTTCCGGTGGAGCAGATGCTGGTCGATCATCGCCTACGAAAATCTCTCGAATAATCTCTTTTCGTTGTTGCATTTTAGACTCTGTTCGTGTTTTAGTTTTCAACACAGTTGTTTCAAAAATGCTAAAGTGCCGTTTCTTTCCGTCACTAGATTCTTCATCATGCTCTTTTTTCACAGGTATAGAAAAGAGCTCCGTAACTGAACTCGATTCTGCACTGTGTGAAACATCACTATGAACTTGGCTCGAAACACCATAATGGTTTACATTTTTTTTATTTTTGAGCTTTGTACTAGCAGCAACGCTTGTATTTATAACACGGGAATGCAGCACATCAATTATTGACCGTCTTTCACGACACAGTTGTTCTTCTTGTTGTGTTTTAGTAGTTAATGTGGACTTTTCGCTGATATTCGGTGTTGACTTTTGAAGCAACCTCTCGATGGATTTCGCAAATTTAGAACTTCTATTGGTATTAGATAGTAAGGGATCTTGTTCACGCTCTAAATCTGGCAATGAAGAGGCCATTTTCAGATTGTGCGAATGATCTATAGTAATTAAGCTGGGAGGAATTTTAAGCGAACGTTTATAACGGTAAGCTTCCAAAAGCAATTGACGTTCTTTATCTTTAGGCTTGCTATTTTGAATATTACTTTTGTCAATGGCCAACGCTGCCTTATTAAATTTCTTAAAACTGGAACCAGGTACTTTTTCAGTTTTGCCACTTTTCACGGACTTCTCATTTCTAGAACGCAAACGCATTGAAAGTTCGCGATCACACTGCTTCTTCGAAAGCTCTTTGCAAACTGTCAATGTAGAGCTCTGATTATTGGCGAATTTCCGTACATATTTTCGTTTGATTGACTTAATTTTGGTGGTGGAATTACGAATAATTTTATCATTTCGCAATACTTTACTATTTGCCAATTGCAGTTCCATTTCCCGTTTCTGCTTGGAGCGGGTCATTGTATTTAACCCTACCATTAAATGCACTTTTGGTTTTTTTTCACCTTTTTTTTCTTCGATGTCTTCTTTACATTTAGAATTATTTTGCATCGACGTTATCGCCTTGTTCTTCTCTATTTGTTCTTTAATATTTGTATTATATATTTCCTTTTCCCTAATACTCTTCCTGACTAACTTTTGCGCATCATCGGGAGATTTTGATCTATCTGATACAGAGTGGATATTTTTAATAGCATTAATTTGGCACTTGTCTTTTAAATTCGATAACGTCGTTGCTTCCTGCAAATTATGTAGTTTTGACGATACATTTGCCTGTATGTCTTTTTCATCATTTTCTTGAACAGATGTTTTTGTAGTAAGATTTTTGCAGTCATTATAATCATTACTCTCTGAAGAGTCGCAACCGCAGTCAGAAAACTGATTTGTATTAGTGTTATTATTTTGCCGGGTTTTAACTTTCTTTAGTGGTTTCTTCGAACGATCGGATTTTCTTTTAATAATTTCATTGTCACTCTCCGAGCTACTGTCCACTTGCAAACGAGCAGCAATACGTTTTTCTTGCAGTAATCTCATTTTTTCCCTATCGTGTTTACTTATCTTTTTCTGAATAATGACATTATTTGACTGTGAGGAATGGACTTCCGGCGATTTACCTGTAAAACGTTCCCCCGTCATGGTACTTTCGACCTTTACGTCAGTTATATCACACGATTTACTGCTTTCTGCCGATTCAATGCTAACGTTTGATGTGTTATTTCCTATAGTTGTGTCTTTTGTTTCTAATTCTTTAATGTCATTTGAAGATTTTTGATTCTCTACCCTTATATCCATATTCACACTTCCAAATCGGCATTTGGCATGAATGTTTCGTGAACTTGTAAGCAACTGTTCCATAAAATCAGTACATTTACTATTCCAATTGCAATCTATAATATCAATCAAATCGTACTTTTCGTCTAGACCCGGAATGGACGGTAGTTCGGCGTTAAGAGTTGAACAAATACTTGGTTCTTCTTTTATTTTAATGGACTCTTTAATAGTACCGGGTACGTTTATTGGTGTACTGAACGTAAAACCTTTCAGTTCCGCTTTAGTTCTAATGCGGGCTGCAATTATTAAATTTGTTTCCGTTTTTATTGGTACAATTGGAACTGGTTGTGGAACCGTTGGCGGTGGAGTATCCATTGTCGGCGTTAGTGGCTCTATCTTGCAAATAGGTACATTGTTATTAACAATTATGGTGTTTTCCTTTTGACAGCATGGAACAATTTCGGCATGTATTGACTTGTCCACCGTTTTCACATCTAGTCCTCTTTCCTCATTTACTATTCGATCATTTATTGCTATGACCGCCGTTGAAGTGGAAATTGTAGGTGTTAATACAGCGTTTGGTTGGCCGATATGTTCCTGATATCTTTGTTGCTTAACGACGGGTTCAGTACGTTGTGAATTTGAGTATTCTTGAAGATGGCGCTTACGACCAAGATAATTACGATTTCGCTGATCTCGAGCTATTGTATTGGATAAAGGATTGATATCAACTGAAGACATGGAATTAGCGGCTTTTATAACCCCATCGGAAAAAGCTGGCGAAAAAGTAAATTCAGAACTAGTTGACTGAATCGATTGCGATACTCTACCCATATTAGTAGCTAGTTTAAAGTGTTCGGCTGTTGCAGGCACATTACTACCAATCACTGGAACTGTTTTAGATTTTATTGTTTTCACCGTCGCAAAAGGATTTGTTTCTACAACGCTGGGACGCATCTGACATATTGGTAAGCTTTTTTCAGATGTGTTAATTGCCATAGAAGTTTCCTTCAGGGTACTGATAGCAGATGGGCCGATCCGAGGTGTGATCGTGCAAACTTTAGATGAATATTCAGAGGGAAATTGCTTCGAACTCTTTTTTATTTCTGGTTGTGCTGCAATCACCTTGGAGTCAACCGGCACTATTACTGGCCTTGTAACCTCAGATGAATTATAAAATTGTTCATTCTGTTGACTTATTATTATTTTAGACTCCCTTGATGTCACATCTGCGTGTAGTGAAAAATTTGGCGTGAAATCTACCCTTGGCAGGGTGTGCTTGAAATCAGCTTGGGGATTTATTAAAATGGCTTGATTATATCGATACTCAGTAGAATCAGCTTTCGTTTTAACTGTACGCATCGATAAATCTAAAGGCGATGGTGTTAACGGCTCTTCTATTTTAATTGTCTTATGCAATTCAGACAACGTTGAATCTTTACAAACTTTTGTCATATTGTGTGTAGATGTGGGTGCATTTTCCGCTAAAATCCCATTTTCTATTACACCAGCCCCATAGTCCTTAGACAAAGAGGTATTAATGGGTAGTGGTAAAAAGCCGTTGTTTATATCTGCCCCGGTTTGAGATAATTTGTCCACAGGTGAAGCTCCAGTCTGACCAGACGCAGAATTTAGGGCTTTCTTGATGATCTGTAAATCCAATTCTTTTTCCGATGTAGCACTTCTCATTGCGACTACTTGGTTTATCAGTTCTCTGTAATTGGTTTTTGGAACTTGAGATTTCTTTATATTATTTTGTTTTGGACCTTGGTTCGATAGGTGTGAAATTTGCTTAGGTTGCATTTGTGGATCTATTGATTGTGCCTGTGATAAAGTTTGTACAGTCACCGAATGAGAAGACAGTGGCTTGGAATTCTGGGAATGTCGTTCATAACCACAATAATTCGGACTTGGATGAACTGCGGCGCTTTCCTGATGTGTACGCCCGGACGACCGATTAGTTTCAATTTGATTGTGATGTCGACGATACATTTGTGTATAATTCGATGGTGATTGCGATTGACTCTGTGGTGTTAGGCTTGTGTGTTGCATTTGTATGTGAGATGGCGGCGTTGTGTGCGATGGTGACGGTGAAGCTGCCACAGCAATAGATGGCGACATGTAATTTGTAATATGCGCATTATTATCATGCTTTGTATGCTGTGCTTCATAAAAGTATGGTTGATCTTTATATCCAGACGAGCGGCGAACAGGAGTAGGAGGAGGAGTATTTTGATTTTCCGTACAGAAATTTGTTTTTGTTATTGTCTCTTTTGCTATTTTACCGTATTTAAAATAAACATGCTGTACATTATTTTCACTAAAGCTATTAGTTATACTGTCATAAGGCGAAGTTACGTCCTTACAACAGGTATCCAAAGGCGAAGACGTTTTATATGGATTAGCATATAAACCACTAGTTTGATGAGGCATTGAGTCGCTAAAAATTACTTCTTTATTTTTAAACACTATATCATGAGCCGGTGTCTTCGCTAGTTGATGGGGAAGTGATAATGAATGCAGTTGGGAGTGTGATGGTAAGGCTTTCTGGTTTTTTGAATACTGACTTGTAATTTGCATCTGTTTTGTTGTAATCGGTTCCCTTTCTGCAGTGGTAGATACTTGGGTCTTGGCACCTTGCATATAATAGCTATGGTTTCGAGGCAAATGTGGATTGACATTGGTCAATAATGGTTCTTGATGCTGAGGATTTAACTGCGACTGTTGTACTGTAGTCTCGTGGATACTGTGATGATAGTTGTTACCACTAACATGCTGTGAATAATTATTATAAGAAGGCATTTGTAATTCGTTCATCTTCATGTCAGTAACATATCCATGAACTTTAAGTTCCGACTCATGTACAATTTTCCTTTGCGCATGAATATTACTGAACTTATCCGAACTAAATTGTGGTGTCGACATATATAAGCTCTGATGACTTGTGTGCACGTTGTTGTGATCGCTGTGTACAAAAATTTGGGGACATTTTCTGGCATAGTTCGGACTTCCTTGCTGCTCCTTCAAGGCTAATGAGTTACTTGGATTTACAATATTGCTGGGATCCATTTTGCTGTTGTGTATTAAGTCCATTGTTGTTGCAACTGACTTTTGACTTGGTATAACCTCACTGTATATTGTTGCTTTTGTCGACCCTTGGTCAGGAACCGATGTATGGTAACCCACTATATCATCATAAATACTCTCTTTAGGATAATTACTTATTGCACGTATATGTTGATGATGGTTTTGTTGTAGTTGGTGAGGTGGTAAATTTGTTATATTGGCTGTATTCGTATGCGTTTGCATTTGTATAAGGTTTGGCGGCTGCAGTTGGTGGTGAGATTGTTGATGCTGAAGTTGTTGCTCGAAATTATAATTCGACTCCAAGGCACAACTTTTATTAGACACTGAATTTCTTTCATGCTGTAATCCTACAATACTTCTGTTGGTAGGGATTACTTCTGTACCATAAGATACGTCGCCATTTGAATGGAAAAATTGCCTGCCGTCGTGAGGATATAATAAATTTTGATTAATTTTATCTCGCGATGAACCTGATTTTTGAAAATCTACTCTTAAAGAGTGTTCTGAATTCCAAGTTCCATCTGATGTCGAGGGACATGCATTGCACGTAATATTATTTGACATGTTTGGGCACACGCAAGACTTATTATTAACTCTCTCATGCGAATAATATTCAGTATTTGTTCGACCATCATCGATTCCTCTAGTAAAATACATTGCACTTCGTCTTTCGTCATTTCCATCAATTACTTCGTGATGTCTATTTGAATCCATAATATTCTTAATCTTAAATGATAATAAATATGTAGTTAATAACCATACGATCATATATGAATGTATGTTTATCTCAAACAATTATAGATCTAATTAATTATCTACAATATCCATCCATTTATAGAAATATATTTCATAAATCCTAAAATAAATGGTGTCGGGATAAGTTCAGAATAAGAATACAAAATTAGAGCACAATTCTATTAATTATTATTGATGAACATACATAATTTTAATTATTCATTCTACAATCATTACAACTTTTTTAACATTTGTCTATATTAGTATAATTTTTCTTCCTTCCAACACTTTTTTCAGTTTACCCATCGGAAACTGCGTGTTTATAGGAAGGCCTTCGAGGTATTATAACTGTTTACATTTGTATGTGTGTTGAAAACCAGTATTTTATTTCGTTGTGCCTCTTTGCTGGGTAATTTCGAATTTCACTTGCTTTCTTCATATACATTATTTCATTAAATCCTGCTTTTTGTTATTACTTATGTATTTTTAACAAACGTATTCTACTACTAACTCTGTACAAGTTCATAAAGAAAAAAGTTTATAATATAAAATTTAATAACAACAGGTGGTATTATCCGCTTATTCATTTTATACGGACCTGTTTTATAACGCATTTACGTTATTTTCAATGTTATTGTGTTATCATCGCGGAAAAATCTTTTTGAATAATGCTTTTTTTTTTGCTTAAACTTGAAATTTAATATTCTATATACATACATATATGATGTTTTAATATTAAGACATTAAAAAAACGTAGTAAAAACAAAAATTCCTGTGAGTAAATTTTGATATTCATTATTTTTTTTATTAAATATGTATCTTTAATCACTTTTTAATGGAAAATGAAGATTTAAAAAAGTGAGCATTCCAAATAGCGGTGTTAAATTTTAGTATCACCTTGTATATGCAGACACCATACATATAGTAAAGAAATATATGCGTTAATTGCTTACTTAAACAAAAAAACCTCCCCATTAAAATATTTTATAATATTTAACACTACACTTTCCCCAATAATATATTTCATATTTTATTGTTGGGTACTTTTACTTTTAGTGCAAGCAGCCGTACTCGATACAAGTTTTCCATTATAAATTTGCTGTGTCGGCAAGGAATGTAGGAAGTAAGAGTTGCCGATATTTAAATGATGTTAACAATAATAATTTAAAATAAATCCTGAGAATCTTCAATTCTTTCGAAATTTTTTTTTTACTCATTTTGTTTTTAATCCAATACCTAACCATTTTTGTTTTCTTCTTGCTTTCTTTTAATTAGAATTCACTTTACACATTATGGTTGAGCACTTCCACTTTCCTAATTCCTCCATTCTTTGCACTATTTTTCGTTCGCTTCACGACACAATTACAATACAAAACTCGACGACTCGTTTAGCTTTGCATTTACTTTTTAATTGTCTTTGGGTTGGTTTGCTTTGGTTTTTTTCTTTGCTAAGCTGTGCATCAACTTACTGCTGAGGAAAATTCAATGATCAAAAGCAAAAAATTTCTACTTCTACTTGTCTTTTTTGATCGAGTGCTTGCCTGCTTGTCTTGTTGTTTGGCCTACTTTAGCGACGAATTTCACGTTGTATTCACATTCCACTATACTTATTTTAAATACCAAAGCACTGAACTAAATATCACAAATAATCTGTACAATCCGTATTACTAAAGCAATATTACAAATACATATATATATTATCGTTTTCTTTACTTTTTTCTTAAAATCACTGCTTCATTTTCCCCAAACGAGACAACGACGACGAGATATAAAAATGAAAATGACAACAGTGTTACCAATGTACATTTCCGTACATCCAAACCGTACAACCCTGTTCGAACTTGGCATTGAAAACTGTACATAATTAAGATGAACTTTAACTAGAGGACTATTGCAATATTATTATCTGTTAAAATATTAGACTTTTTTAAAATAATTGTGACAGTTTTCCAAAAATAAAAATACCAATATTATATAGTTAAATTGAATATAAGTTGCAATCAATAGAGTACGAAATAAATGCAACAGTGTCATACGTAGTGAATGTGAGATTAGTCAGGGTTGAGAAATTGTTTAGTCTCGAAAACAATAAACATTTCCAATAAATTATGATTACCACTTTATAAAGTCAATAAAATGCTTTTAGGTTGCAATACATCCAAACTTCTTAACTACTACACTCTAGTGGCTGACTCACTCACCTTTTTCTTCGCTTTGCTTCAGATACCTACAAGAACAGTGACAGTCATCTGACCGGTAATATGACAGTCACAGCTGAAAAAATTTTGTCAGCGGGCAGAACAAAGTTCCTTTCATTTTCTTAAGAGCCTTGTGCAAAACCTGATGTAAACAAAAGCATGCGTGTGAGTTTGCATCTCTCTTTAACACATGGGTAATGGGAATTGATTCACAATATATCTATACTGCTCACTATTATGTCTTTTTCTGAGTCATTGCTGGCCATAAATCCATCATAGCTGAAAACAGTCATTTATGACTGAAACGCTATCATAACTGCAATTTGTTAGTTATTACTGTAAATCTATCACAAGTGAAAAATTATTTTGCGTAGTAGATAATATAATTTTTATTAAAATAATTAATATATTCAAAACTTTTAATTAAAACTAGTTATAATAATATACTTAAATATAAAAAAGGAGTGTAACAAAAATATATTTAAATAATTAATTATGAAAAGAAATTAAAACTTATTTCCATGCTTGCTCCTCTCAGAAGCTCTGTTGTATGTATTTCTCCAGTTCATAAATATTTCGGAATTTAAAAATGCCTAAATAAAAATGAAAATTAACTAAAAATATAATATAATTTTAAACTTAATAATATCTTAAGAATACTTCATTTTATAACTTTTTCGTTATTTATTATCTATGTATATAAAAATGAAACCCGTTTCCCGTTGTCACGCCATAACTTGTGAACGGTTAGACCGATTTGGCTGTTTTTTTTTGTAGTTTTCTAATACTCTGTAGAAGGTTCTTACGGAAAAAAATATTAAGAAAATGTCTTAGAAAGAATGAAAAAATACATTTAATTTTGCATATTTTAAAAAACGCGCGTAGCGAATGTCATCGTCATTCACAGCCATAGACTATATTGAAAGAGCATGGTTTGTTCAGAAATGTGGTTACTTAATTAAATTCTATCGCACTAATTTACTAATTTTTGAAAATTACTTGCCACAATTAAATGTATCGACTTTGACGGTAATATTTATAATACCTGTGATGATTTCATTTAATGTAAGTATTTAATAATAATAAAATATGTATACTATGAGTTAGATTTCAGAATAGAAGTTCATTTCATATACTAAATGCAACCAAATACGAAATGCCCTAAACTTCCACCAATTTCAGCACTATTGTACACGGACAAAATTAATTAATTGCCCTATTTTCCCAGTAGCACAAATAATTATTTAAATCATAACTGGCTCATTAATCGAGCTACATAGACAGAAAAAAATGCTGAAATTAGTTTTGATAAAAACATTTTACTAAATTAAACCGCTTATTCAATATAATTTAATTATACCTTAGCCACAGCAAGGCGAGGCCAGGGATTTCTAGTTTTTAATAAAAAAAAATCGTTATTGCACAGAAGCACGCAACACTTTTGGTCTATCGCCCGAAATAACAGCTACATAAGTATTTCACAACTTCTCGAATCTTCTATGGAAATGTATGCTGTCTCCTTTCGACGTATACAGAATTTGCTTTTGGAAAAAGCTTAAACATTGACAGTCATTTATTTGTTCATTTGACTGTCAGTTCTGACATAATAAATGTAAGTGTGTTGGTGAACCCATCAGCAGTTTCTTGTGGGGTATATTTGCTTTGATAGAAAAGTTTGATGTATGCTCATGTGTGAGTATGTTCCCATCAAAGCAACCTTACAAGAAAGTCATGAGAGTGAGAGGTATAGATCACATGCTTTTGCTTACATCAGTTTTTGCACACGGCTCTTAAGAAAATGATAGAAATTTTGTTCTGCGCGCTGACAAAATTTTTTCAGCTGTGACTGTCATATTACCGGTCAGATGACTGTCTCTGTTCTTGTAGGGAAAATACAACAAGGCGAAGCAAAATGTTAGGCAATCTTAAAAGTTTTGCAATATAATGCGATCAGATGATTTGACTTGATAATCACGTTGACACACCACTTGATTGGAAGAATTGTTATCAAGACGACGTTCAAATTCAAACAGTTATGGTCCGTTCACATACAACTTTGCTCGCTTTACTTGACAATTCCTACTTTATCAACAAAGGGAACAAAAGGGTATGTCAAAATGAACGCTTTGCTTTCGTGCTACTCTTTAATAAAAATGGCGACTGTTGCTTGGCAAAATGTAAAAAAATGAGAGTTGCCCGAAATTTGATTCGATTTGATTTGCTCCGCGTCAATGTGAATAAACTCATACAAAAGCATACATCGAACTTATCTACCAAAGCAAGTTTTTCTTCGCTTGTCAGTGTGCTATGTGTGGATTTTTATACTCTTGCAACATGTTGCTACACAGTATAATAGTTTTGTTCACCTAAAAATCTTAGATATAGGGTTATATATACATATATAAATACTCAGGATGACGAGATGATAATAACCCTTATCGACAGTGTGAAAAAAAATGACATCGGCGATAAATCAATAACCAGATGCATCGAAGACATAAAATTTAACACCCAAGATGATAGAATAGGGCTTTTTAGGAACCGGGTTCAAAATTTGACGATGGGCATGGCACCGCCCAATGAATATATTAGGATCAACCTTCACACAAATAGTGCCTTTGAGGTATCCTTGTAATTTTAGTTTTCGTTAAAGTGGTTATTTCGCTATTGAACAGATTAAAACAAGTTCCTGTATCGTTTAACGGAATATAACTTTTTCCTTTAATGTTTATTTTTATACTCTCGCAACCTGTTGCAATAGAGGATAATAGTTTTGTTCACCTAACGGTTGTTTGTATCACCTAAAACTAATCGAGTTAGATATGGGGTTATATATATATATATATGATCAGGATGACGATAGGAGTTGAAATCCGGGTGACTGTCTGTCCGTCCGACCGTCCGTCCGTGCAAGCTCTAACTTGAGTAAAAATTGAGATATCTTTATTAAACTTGGTAGACATATTTCTTGGTACCGTGAGACGGTTGGTATTGCAGATGGGTATAATTGGACCACTGCCACGCCTACAAAACGCCATTAATCAAAAACAAATAAATTGCCATAACTTAACTACGCAATAACATCAAAGACTGTTATTTGGTACACAGGATCATATTGGGGAGGGGCATCTGCAGTTAGAATTTTTTTTTAAAGTGGGCGTGTTCCCGCCCCTAAAAGGTTTATTGTGCATATCTCCTAAACCGCTAATGCTATAATAACAAAATTCACTGGAAGCAAATGTTTTTAGCACCTCTATTGACGGTGTGAAAATAGTCGGGTGGCAACTTCGCCCACTCCCCATATAACGGTACTGTTAAAAACTACTAAAGCGCGATAAATCAAGCAATAAACACGCCAGAGACATTAAATTTTATCTCCGGGATGGTATGGGATGACTTTTTAGGAACCGCGTTCAAAATTAGACAGTGGGCGTGGCACCGCCCACTTTTAGGGGAAAACCCATATCTTGGGATCTGCTTAACCGATTTCAACAAAATTCGGTGCATGACGTTTTTTTCATATTTCTATGTCATAGTGCGAAAATGGGCGAAATCGGACTACAACCACTCCTATTTCCCATATAACACAATTTTCAATTCCACCTGATTCTTTTACTTTCCACTATGCATATCAAGCAACAATGATTATATCGGGGTAAAACTTTGCGTGAATAATACGTTTAAAGTATGCCACCTTGTGACCAAAAATGGTCTAAATCGAACCAAAACTGTTCAAGCCTCTTAGTACTAAATATGTGACCCCAGTACCTATAGTTGACCTTCTACCGAAAATATCAGTCAATCCACAAAGAAATCTCAAACGAGTATACCATTTGACTTTGCGAGAGTATAAAATGTTCGGTTACATCCGAACTTAGCCCTTCCTTACTTGTTATTTTTATTTTAGGTAAGGACTACGAGGCTGGTTCATAAAAAAAAATATTGTTAGCTCTCCCTTATACTGGGGTGCGACGGGAACGTGCACCACACGGAATGAGGCAGCACGGATTACAACACGAGGGCTGAGTCTTTTTTTGAATTTATTAAAGTGATTGAGTGAGCATTGAAAATGTGGGTTGTGAACCCACATTCGTCACTAGTACTAAAAGGACCTCCCCTTGATATAACTTTGAGAAATGAACTTATAACCGGTCTGATCTCACAAAGGAGGGCATCAAAAGCCCTCCATGTCAGATCACGGGATTATAAGGTTCGAACTGAAAGTAGAGGACAGGGACCTCCCGCCAACTCGTATCCCTAGAAACACGGATTACGATGTCTTTGGGGATACTTGAGGGCTCAAGGTAAGTAGAGTGAGGCAGCTAGGAAGCGATGCTACGGCACCTGGACTGGAGACTGGCTGCGAAAAACCAGTTCCTAATGAACGCATATCATTGCAGCTGCCCATTAAATTCGGTCACCACAAAACAATGCTGTCCATGGTGGCAGAAGATCTGATGGGGCCTATAGGACCACAATTGAGGAAAGGGCAATGGCAATCTTGCTTGCGCACTTCCCAAGGAATTTCTTCTTTGCAGACTCAATCAAGTGGACACTGCCTTCCTTCTCGAAATGTATAGGGTGGATGACATCTTCTGCAACAAGGAGGGCAAGTTCGATTGTCGCACCTTGTTGGGCTGATGAGAGATAGCCTTCCGATGGCGTATATCCCAGAACCGTGTAGAATAGCAAGGGTAATCTTCATACCTAAAATACGAAAGGAAGACTATTTGTTGGCTTAAGCCTTTAGGTCTATTAGACTCTATCTTACGGTGGAATAGGGATGTGGAACCAACACTAAAGCTAGAAAAGCACTCATGGTACGCATACGCCTGGTCGGTAAATCCTGGGATTGTAAGTCAAGCATCATCAGGTGGCTGTATACCATAATCGCGATTATAGAACGACTGAACAGCCTATCAGTCTGCAACCGTGTATACCTGATTTGGGTGCCGGCGCATAAGGGGGTAGCTGGCAATGAGCTGGCACGGAGATGAGAGTGAATAAAGAAAATTATTAACAACAAGCAGCAGGTATGCGCCACGCAAAGCTGTTAAAGCAACTTTATAATATAGCAAGGACGTGATTAAACTCCCTAAAGACAAATAGTTTCTAGAGAAAACTGCCGTTTTTGCGATATGGAACCGGAAAGCACTTGATTCTAGATTGCACTGCACTCTTTAGACGGATTCTTAGGATGCATACTTGATTAGGGATCACATCACCTCAATAGCGCGCAGAAAGTTCCTGGAATTCATGGAGGTTCTACAATAAACCTCAATAAATTATATTTTATTCTATACTGTTATTAACTTCTTCTAATACCAGTTTGTAAAGGTCCTGTTTGGCCATGCATACTCGAGCATTAGAACTGGGTACAATATTATCAACCCTGATTAGTTCCCCTTAATTTTGCTTATATGGATAATGGTGGTATTGATCAGTATTTTGTCTGGGACTACCTGTCGTTTGTGGTCTCAGAAAATTGCCCGATTTGTGGGTCTGTTAAAATTATTAAATCTCCCACTATAATTATATTTATCTCGCCCTCATACATTGTAGCGTCATTTCCTTGATTGAATGGACCTTGAGCCATGTTTAGATTTTTATCTCCAAAACTTTTGTTATACTTTTGACCTCCTGATTGTTCCGAAGGTTAGAATTCCTGAAGTTCTCAACGAACTGCTCAGCGGTTCAAGTGGAGGGCATTTGAGAATCTCGAAAACCGTGCAGAAATTAAAGCAAAGGTTTTATTGAGCTGGTTGTTGTCGATTGCCAAATATGCTGAGTACATTGCAACTATGATAAAGGTTGAGGCTGAGCCAGTAACGGACGGAAATTTGTAATTTGAGATTCACTCCATGAATTGCTCAGAGGTGGTGTACTTTCCTAAAAATAAATAGTTTATTTAAAATTAATGAAAATAGGGAGCTTTTCTTATTTATTAGCAAATAATACTCACATTCTAACAAAATCAGTATCATTCTTGATTTTATAGTAAACAAAAAATTTCCCAATTCGTGAATTTGAGCTCATCACATTAGAACATATGTATTATGCTATCTGTGAAGTTTATGCGAGTTATGTAGTTTAACCTTTAGTTAGATGATAAATAGATTTTTGTTAAATCGTGAACCACTTCTCATAAAATTTATATTTATACGGCAACACAGCAAGATCTACTCCGTTTTAGTCAAGGTAACCCTGATAAATTATTGTCATTGACTGTCAGAACGTATAAAAGAGCTTACAGTTTTCACTTGAATATCATTTTCTGTGTATAGACGGTTTTAAATCATATTTTAGTTGTGAATTAACATTACGCACAGATTGGCGGTTTTGCCTTTGTGATTCTTTAAGAAGTTGAAGTTAATAATGAAAAATATGTCTAACCGCGACGCAGCCACAAACCAACTAATTGACTATAAAAATAATTTGTCGGTAAGTGTTGTGCTAATATCAAGATAAGGGTTAAATGAAATTCAAGTAACCTACTTACAAATGTTTTAAATCTTCAAATAAACATATTATGTATAAGCTACTAGGTTTGGCTTGGTAGGATAGAAACAAAGGGTAAACAAATATTTTATAGGTCGTATACCGTACAATTGCATACATACATATAGTACATATTTTTTTATCTCTTTATGTTAAATGTAATAGTAAAATGTAAAACTTTACGTCTCAAAGTCGACCTTTTTTTATTTAAATTAAAATGAATTAAATGTGTTTTATGTTTTTTCTTGCTAGTTTCAATATATTTTCTTAACAAGTTTTTGTTTGTCTTGTGGTATTAGTGTTTTAATGTGGTTACTAAAAAAAATGTAATTGAGTTAAAAATTCAGCTCAGTTTAGTTTCCAGTCTAATTGAAGCATATATTATATATACTTATGTTTCTAAACCAAAACATTTTTTTCCGGTTTAACGCTCTGAATTATTAAGATTAGGATGAACTAAATACTACTATAGTAGACTGTTGGGAAAACTTTAGTATACCGTCCCCGGCTTTCGGAGATAATTTGGGTATGTGCGGATAGAGGAGATCCTCCAGATCAAGAGTATATATAGATATAGCCGCGGGAAACTTAGGTAGCTCGATAGTTTTCGAGATATTTACGGTTAAAGTTGAAAATTTCAACTATTTGAAGTACGAATTTTTTTGATCTAAAATAAACCTTTATTTTCCACTTTTATATCCACTAGCACTAAAATAAAAGTATAATTCATTTTAAATCGAAAAAATACGGACTTGAAATAGTTGAAATTTTCAACTTTAAACTTAAATATCTCGAACACTATAAGTTTCCCGCGGCTATATCTATATATATTCTTGATCTGGAGGATCTCCTTTATTCGCCCATACCCATTTTATTCCCGAAAGCCTGGGATAGGACGGTATACTAAAGCCGACCCGACTGTTGTTGTTTTTGTAGCGGCAGAATATTACCGAGTTGACAGTCCTTGGCCAGATAAAAATCCGGGTCCGATCCGGTTACGTAGACCTGACTGTCGTGGGAACGATAGTAGGCTAATTTACTATAGTTAATTTTTCATATTTAATTATAATTAAAATTTTGTAATTTTCTTTACTTATTAAAAAATAGTAAATTTTAGAGTAATATCCCCCGAATACATGGTTAAAATGGGTATGTGCGGATTGAGGAGGTTCTCCAAAAAATATATACATTTTGTTGCCGCTGACTGATGATTTTTCAGATATTTTAATTAAATTTCAAAAATTCAACTAATTAAAGTGCGTTTTTCTTTGATTTATTATGAATTTTACACTTAAATTTTTAAGATTTTTATCCACTAGCATTTCATTAATTTTTTTCTACACACTTATTTTATATTAAATGGTGCAAAAATAACTTTAATTCAATATTTAACCTTTGTTCAATTATTTTTATTCACACAATAACAAAATGGTTGCGTTCTAACCAAAAATCAGAGTTACCTTATCTACATATTTTATAAAGGAGACCAAAAGGAATAAGGAAAACAGATATGGGGTATTATCTGGCAGAAAATAAATAACAAAATTAATAAACATTAATTTTTTACGCAGAATTCCTTTCTGTATTGGCGGCCTTCGGTCGCGCTTCAAAAAAATAACCTTGTGCGGTCCAACACCGGATGTCTTCAATTCTTTCACGTAGAACTCCGTTTTGCGTTGGAGGCATTCGGCCGCGCTCAAAAATAAAAACAAAACCCTTTTTGCTAAAAAAAAAACAAATAACGCTGGTCTATCCAACACCGGGATTTACCAAAAGAAAGGAAATTATAAAAGAGTTTACGTTACTCATCAAATGATTATGATTTTTTTTTATTTACGGTATAATCCTTTTTTATTTATTTTTATTCCAAATATGCTAAAACACTAAAACTATAAATGATGTTAATTCATATGTATATTTAGAAATAATGGCTGTTTTGTGAGATCTTTTTATATCTACATAGATACATACATGAATTACTTTTGGAAAAGTGTAATGACTATTGCGAAATAATCAATTTGCGCACCTTAATAGTTTATTTTCAATTTGGTTAGAACTTCTGAAAAATTCCTTTCAGATGTATCGACTGATTTCGATCGTGTTAATTGCTGGGAATTATTTTCCATTAACACTAATTTTACAATGACTTGCAAAATTTATGTATACAAACACGACACTCCCATTTAGTTGTTGTTGTTGTTGTTATAACGACTATCTAATCCCCGTTTGGGTGATAACTTCTAGATTCGTTGCCGTCGAGGTCATCTAACGGAAGGCCCAGGAAACGAGCTGTTTCGACGGGGTCGGACCATAGGGAGAGGGGTGTTAGATGAGTGGGGTTTGTTGGGCATGCAAAGAGGTGGTTAGTGTCATGCGGAGACTCATTGCATGCAGGACATGTGTTTGGTATGTCAGGGTCTATTCTGGATAGGTAGGAGTTTAACCTGCTACAGTATCCAGAACGAAGTTGCGCGAGGGCCACTCTAGATGATCTCTGATGACCGGCCGGCCGATTGCCTTGTATGTTGCCAACAACGTTTCTTTGTCTTTTCCCCATGAGCTGCCGGCAAGCGACTTGAGGATTTTGTTGCGGCTCTGTACTTTGGCAGTTATCGCGGTCGTATGAGGAGTGAAAGAGCACAGACTGTCCAAAGTGACGCCTAAAATTTTAGGGTTATTTACTGTCGGAATTTTTGTGCCATCGACTGAAATGTTCAGGTCCAGTCTGTACTCCTTCGTCCAATTGGTGAAGATGGTCGCTGTGGATTTAGTGGGGGAGAGTGTTAAGTTCCTTGCAGAAAAGAAGCGAGAAAGATCGGAGAGGTAGCCGTTTACTTTTGAACACATGCCATCGATTCCACAACAGTCGGTTCTGCGATACCGGAATTGACCCGGATTTTATCCGGCCAAGGGCTGTTATTTCGACGATCTAACCCTGTTTGGATCGGTAAGTTTTAGATTAAGTTTGTCGTCATTGGAGCAACGCCTAGCAGCAGGGTTGCTCCGTATCCTCCTGACCCGTGCTGGCATCGAGTCCAACCCGGGCCCCGAGGTATTCTACTGCTGCGTATCCGCACAAAGGCTCCATCCAAATTCCACCTCGGTTAGGTGCAATACATGCAATGGATGGAGCCATCTTAAGACCTGCTCGGGCCTTAAGACACACAGGGAGTGGACCACGAGTTACGTGGCCCCATGCTGTCAACGCAATAATGCGACATCTGCCTCAACGGCCGTGCAACCTGCACCATGTTCGCACACTGCGCTGCCACTCCAGTCGAGTGGCCAAGATAGGACCTCCACGGTCCTAAGGAGCTCACATAGACAGCATAACTCCCAATCTGTTATTTTAATTCTGACAAATATAATGGCAGAGGGATTTGGTCACAGTCAATAGTAATCGTTTTCCAAATACTTCCTCCAGATATCTGTATTAACTTTTTTTAAGTTGGCTATGAAGGAACCATAAATAAAGATTTGCCAGTAATTTCAAATTAAGGAATGTAATAATGCAGAATAACTGATTTATAAGGATGAAGGCTGGTTCGAGTTCATCTTATTATTGTAGTCCACTCACTAGGAACCTAGACTGACTGACTTCGAGTAAATGATTCGATAGTGCTGTACACAAAAACATGTATGACAGCTCGTATGTTATATATACAGATTCAGTAAATGTAGGTGATTTTATAAACAAAGTGTAAAATTGTAATTTGAGATTTTTTTTTGTCCACAATCAAAGTTTCATCCATCTTCCAGTAAATTGTACTGTGTCCTGTAAAGGCGTTACATTTCTTCACTTCTGTGAACAAGGGGTTAAAACTGGGGCAAAAGTGTACCAGCAGGATGTTTTAGCAAGCGTGGTAAAGCATTTAGTAATATTCTTTTCGAAGATTATGCCAACATTCGATGCAAAAACCACTTGGCAGTAGGTTGAAACCAATAATCCTGGTTTTATAGCTGCATATGATTGGCCGTCTGGAAGTCCAGATTTGGACATTGGACTACAATTTATGGTATAGAAAAGGGTAGTCACGTTTTTATGTCCTCTTCGATTTTAACCTTTTTTTTGTGCTAAATTTTGAGCAATATCTCTCCGGGTTTGTTCAAATGGGTTATAACTGGTGAAACCAAGGCCTAATCATCTCATTGGAAGCTGCCAGATGAGCCAAGACCGAAAAAAACACGCCAAGTTCGATAAAATGTGAAAGTTTTGCTTACTATTTTCTTTGATTACAATGGTGTGGTGCATCATGAGTTCCTGCCAAAAGGTTGTATTGTTAATAATGAATACTATAAAGAAGTTAAGCAACGTTTGCGTGAACAATACGATCGGAATTGTGGAAAAACGTGGATTCTGTATCACTATAATGTACATTAATACTTTTTCGTGATTTTTTGGTCAAAAAACAAAACCGTAATCATGCGTATTCATTAGATTTTACTACCTGCGACTTTTTCCAATTCTCAAAACTGAAGAAACCAATGAAAGGAAAGCGTTTTGCTATTTGCTAATTTTATTTTGATGTACTTAATTTTTAATCATGTGTTAAGTAGTTTTGTATTTGTTGTTTATCAAGCACATTTAATTATGTACATGTATTAATAAAAATATTCAGATAATGACTTTTATTGGTTTTCCTGAACTTTATATGCGAACAGACTTATGTGCATTTACACAAAAATCCCATGTTCAAATTACGCATACATTTGTTTTTTTTTGGTACAAGATAGTACACTTCGTTTAAAGTGAAAAAGCGAAAATGGCTGATTTCCTTTTATATCCTTGTGTTCTTACGCAAGCGCGTACAACAATTTAAACAAAAATCTGTTAAATATTTACATACTTACCTTGTGTGTGTAAAATACATGGTCATATGGTGAAACTTTTTTAAATTATTTCAAATAATCAAATGTATCAACGATATAGTTATAATGTTCTT